GGAACATAATTCTAAATCATGAGGTCTCTCGTAAGCGTTCTCTGAAGTTTTCCTGAGTCACGGAAGGTCCTGTACAATACTTTCCCCTGGAAACCTCCAGATAACCACTGCCCAGAAGTGATTCTGCTCCCCGGTCTGCAATCTGTGATGAGCCGCACTTACCACCCGCTGGGAGAAGAAGTTTACTCGCAGCTTCCCCTCCGGGGGCCACAAGCCCCACAAACCCCTCCCTCGCGGTTAGTGGTGATCACTGTGGATGGCCCTAGACAGACCTGAAGACCAGAGCTGAACCAAACCACCTCTAAAATTCTTTAACAGCCGGGCGCACTATGCGAACATTGCTAGCAGGGTGCACTAATGATAGTTCGCGCGGAGAAACACACCTGATAGCCACGCCCATCTCAGAAGAGCCGATGCCCACACAAGGTGATCATGTCAGTGATGGGCGGGTCTAATCTTATCTATACTGTTAAAGACCATTAATCGTATAAATGACCGAAGCTTAATCAAGAACCATAAATCACATTTGCTTTGACCTCATATTCTCATTTCTGGGAATTTAGCTTGGAGAAATAATCTCCATCCCACACGTGAAGAAAATAGGCATAAAAGTAAAGAGTTCACCGCAGTATTGTTTTTATAACTAACTAAAAAAATAAATAATCAGAAACTGGTAATAGCCTATAGATCAAATAATAATTAGTTAAATGAATTACAACAGTTAGAATAATACATAGCTACTAAAATTCTTATTAAAACTATATTTTCATTGTTCTACATGAATATAGTTTTAATATTTTAGTTTAAATGATATTAATATGAAAACAGTTTTTAATATAGTAAATGGGGAGTAAAGAAAAATATAAATTATATTTATAGCAGGATTAATACTCTTAAATATTTATATCCGTATATGGCAGATAAGAGGTAAAATATATATAGGTGGAAATATTTTAAAATATATAAAAATATAAAAACATTTAAATAGAGAAATAGAGATGTAATATATGTACACATCTATCTCTATATCTCTCTCTATAAATATCGATTATCTATAAATGACATTTAGAAGAAAACTTGGAAAAAATGAGGATTTTTCATTTGTAAGAATTGGGAGTTTTTGTTCTTTAATTCAAAGTTTTAATAACATTCTTTAAAAACGTTGGCAACTAATAAATGAATCATAGCACTCCCCCTCACAAAAAAAAATCCAGAAAGTAAATCAAAGAAATAGAAGTTCTCATTGCACATGGTCAGCTCAAAGAGATGATGAATGTCGTATTCACTATAAATCTGTAAAAATCTTAGAAGATTAGGCAAGTATTAAATTTCCAGATTTTACACATGTCGACTTATCGGCCCTCAGTTACAGACTCAGAATGGGGAGCTCAAAGAATTTTTGTGACCTGCGTACGGTTGCACAGCTGGTGGGGGGCTGCTGGAATCCTGAGCTCATTTGTTGACTGGAAAACCCGTGTCTCTTCCTCTCCTCTCCCGACAGCCTCACAGGGAGCTATGGCTCTGGGGACACACTACAGATTCCGGGTGTCCCCTCTTCTAAAGAAGATCTGAAGCATGCTGTCATCTCTTCACTATAGCCCAATGAAGAGAGAACTAGATTTGACAGCCGAAGAGCTGGCCTTGAGCTTCAGCTCTGTCATGCCACTTCTGCTGAGAATGAATGTCACCAGAAAGTGGACATGGTCATATTCTACTGTGGATCTGAGAGTCAGCCTTCTGAAAATTAGATCACTTACTAAAAAAGGCAGGTGGCCGAAAGTGAAAGCTCTAAAGGAGAAATATCGGTGAGTACGAGAAGGTCTCAAGCTAACAGCTGATGATATCCGCACCATTTCACCTGGCATCCTTGGATGCAAGTTTAAGAAAATAACTCAATGGAAACCAACCGATGTGTGTGTACATGCTCTGCCCTGAGAGGTAGGCTGCCCGAGTGTGAAACCCAGCCCCACTGTGTGCGTGTGACTCACACAGTGCCCTGCTTCTAGGCTCGTCTGGTGTAAATGTGTAAAATAATGGTCCTCCATCCCCAGAGATATGGTGAAGATTAGATGCAACATACAATAGATGTCAGTTACTACAATCTATAAAAACATCCGATACTATCAGAATAATTTTTTTCTTTCAATCCTTAGTTATAAGAGTTGTATTCAGCTAGTCTTCAGATAGTTCTCCAGGTTGATTGTTCTATAATTTAGCTGTAATTTCACCGTGGTCCTGGGAGGAGGTGAGCACAGCATTTACCTATTCTGCCATCTTGACCGAAACTCCTCATTATCAGAATTTGTTAAATTACAGTCTATCAATATATAACATAATGCCACATCATGCAGTCATACATTATGCAGAAAAAAAGCAGAAGCGTTCATGATGCATTATATTAAAACAACACAAATATGTGTTTGCTTACTGATATTCTTTCTCGAATTTTAAAGGGTTTCACAATTTCCTCAAATTCTATCTTACTGTAATTACAAAATGCTTTAAGAGAGCATGCTGTTTGCTGCTCCTCCCAACAGAACATCTGACTCAGAGATGTGTACTCGTAATTCTCCTTAAAATAAAAGGTACGCTATGTATAGCAAGATATTATTTCACGTGTATCTGTGCCACCTGTAATCTACTCTATAAATTACTATAATTTGTGATTTTAAAAAAAGGGAACAGATTTCAAAATACAGATATGACGGACTGTAAAAAAAGACATATGATTAACAGTGAGTAAATAAAACAAAAGGACTCGATCATGACACAACAAAGAAATACAAGGATCCTGAACTAGTAAAACAGAGTCAGAGAATCTTTGACTATGAATATATGACGAGTGTACGTTTTTCTCTATTTTTAACAATAAAAGCTATGGAAAGATTTTAATGGTGTCATGAGAAGCAAAACGATCTTCACTGGACGGTAATGAATGAGCCAAGGACCCAAGTGGATGGATCGGAGGTCACCTTTCTAGCTTTTCTGAACTCCATATAAGCATTTATTTTCATTGACTCCACATGGCATCCACCATATTACACCGCTAACTCTTTTCACGTCAGATATGCTCAACCACATTTAAATTCCTCGAAGGAATTGACATTCTGGGGCCCCTGGATGAGTTCCAGAGTGTCTGTGGGGCCCTTGCCAAGTGCACGTAAAGACCTAAAAACTTAAAAACAGGGACAGGGTCCATTCCTTTCATGTGATTCTCGAAGGTGTCAGTTTAAGACCTACCAACTTATATGACTCTATTTAATTTTAAAATTTCTAGGGCTATACCCCCTATCTTCGGTCCTTCTTTTAGGAAGACACAACAGATTTGGGGTTACCGATTTCCTCTCCTGCTTCAGCTCCTGGACGTAGCGTGCTAACTCCACGGTGATCTGCGAGGTCATGTTCTCAGAGATCACCTCGTGCTGCCCGGCATAATCATTCGTCTCGTTCAGGGTGGAAAGGAAAGCCTTACAGGCCGTGTACCTACGAACACAACACAGCGGTGCTTTTTCAAACAAGGCCACGTCTGTTCTCGTGCTGCTCGACACAGGCGAAGTGGTAATTAACATCAGGCTAATCTGCATCGACCTCCCAGAGGATCCTGGCGATTCATTACACGTAAGAGCGTTCTCAACAAAATGGCTCAGAATTAATTACAACAGAAACACTCTTCATTCTGTGAAACCGAAATCACTCGACGCAAGGCGGTGTTTGGCTTTGCTGATACTTATTTCAAAGAAAAGCCGAAAGACATGCTGCATGTACCCATGTCATACGTGTCCGGATCTAAATTAGAGACATAATACTTTTGGGTTGTCCGGGTTAAAAGGCCTTAACCGCTGACCAAAATGGAAGTCTATCTTGGATGAATGAGTAGTAATATGAAAGAGACTCTTGATACTACAAAACCAAATCCAGACTTCAGCATGCATAATCCATACTTCTGGTATCTGCTCAGATAATAGTCTAAGCATTTCCTAATTACCTTAATTAAGACAATCTGGAATAGGTCAAGCGATTCAGCGTAAGTTAACTGAGTAGGTTTTTATTTTTCTTGCCCCCAGTTTAAAAACTGATACCAGTATGAATGGGGAATGCAACTTATTTCTGTCGATATTTATTTCTCCTTTCCTTCATGCTCATCACCGGTGGCATCTGAATATTACCATGCAATTATCAACGGTAAACATACCTGTATTCTTCTTCCTCCTTCGAGTTCTTTTTGGGTTGGTATTTCTTTGAAAGATTCCTAAAACAAAAATGTAGACAGGTCACCTTACATAGAAAGATAAGTGAGAAATCAGGAATGACAGACGAAGTTAGTGCTTTTGATTATAAGTTTAAAGAAAACAATTACGAAGTGTCCATGGCTGAAATCCATTTGTCTTCTTCCATCTTCCAACACGTGTGATATGTCATGAAGGGGTTGCAGAGTTTTGAATCTTGACCTCAAACGTAGAGCGAATAAGAACAGAAATAGTCCTAGCTGGCCACTCATCTGGATGTTAAGACTCGACTTTATTTCATTGTTGAAGACAGAGCATGTGAATAGATGCAGTGGCTTTCATGTAGCACCAGCTGAGGACAATCTTTTCTCATCAGGCCACCTTTCCCTCGTGATCATCTTCAGTTGAGCATTATTGCTCTAAATCCAAGAAAAGCATATGGACTGTGCCCAAATGTCTAAATTAATCAAGCGTCAAGGGCATATCATCGAGGCAGTGTGGCTGCTCCCCTCAAAGAGCTAATGAAAACTCTCTGTGAATAAGTCCTCTGGAAGGCAGTAGAGATGACATCTGGGGGCTGTTCAAGCTAAGACATTTAACGAGGAGAACTTGTAACCTGCCTCTTAGGTCTGCACTGCACACTCTCCAATTCTAGCCTCTCTTCCTGATCCCATCTCCAGGTCAAGAATGCACAGATTCTCCTTCGCATTCGGCCCACTTAAATTTACACAAAAAAACTAAGAGGTAGTCATGGGAAAAAACACAGCTCGCTACCATTGGTCCCACTGGCTGATTTCTCATGGGTCCTGATTTGGCTGCTGTAGTCAGGGAAACCGCCGGAGGAGGCTGACTGCTGGTCCACAGAGGGATGCTTCGTTCAACAGCATCTCAGAATTCACTTCCCTGTTGATGCCATGTCGCTATTCCTCTTTTATAGTAGCTACTTTTATTTATTTATTTTTCACCTAGTATTTCTTCCATTTCCCCCAAATCTACAGATTTGCCTAGCAAAATGTGCGATGATAAATTTACAATTTTGACCATGGTATGTTTTACAAAGCAAAATGTGATTTCACCTCTAACAGGTATCAGATGGCACGAGAGGCAGTGGACTTTAGTAAAAAAGTTGCTCTGTGCCTGAGCCCACTGTGCCTGCATAGCACGATCTCGGACAAACGGACAAGCAAATCTGTGCTCTTAGGCCCTCATCTGTAAGTCTGAGGGAGTTAGATGAAATGACCACTACTGTCCCTTCAAGTCTAGAAATTCTGAGGAAATATATAACACACAATACGGTATCTATTGTTGCGATTATTTAAAAATGAAGACATGAGTCTATAGCAATTTAAAAATCATAATCAGACAAACCGATGAAGGCAGGAAGAACCTACTTGAAGGCTGCTAGCACGTGAGCTATACTTAACCTAGGTCATGTTTTCTCTACTGATACTCTAGATACCAAACACGGTTTATCCAATCAATCTAGATGTAAAACACGTGGGGAAAAAAAGCGCCATATTTCCTTAAAGAATGTGCCTTAGAGAAAAAAAATCATGCAAAAGAGAAATGCTGTATGTTGAAAGCACAGTGCAGTTGAGCTGGTGTATCACAAGCGCTTCTTACCAGAGAGAATTATTAAAAATAATATTACAAGTGGCATGAGAAGGGAGTGCATGCAAAGCAGATGACTAGGTAATCAATAGATTCCTTTCCAAATTTAGAGTAGCATGTACGGGAGACTGAAGTATGGAAAAAGCCTCACGCGCGAGGTGTTTTTAGCACATGACTTTAAATCATAACCATACCTTACAATTGAAAATACCACTTCTAAATTCAAACCCTATATTAAAATTCTTTCAAAACTTTATTTTAAAGGTTTATTCAAATTCTCATTTTCTTTTTAGCTTCCAGTCCTCAACAGCCATAAAAACAAATTTTACGTCTACTTGGAGGAAACATAGCTTGAACGTGGCGTAATCCAGGTAAACATAGCTTGAACATGGCGTAATCCAGGTAAAACCAGTGAATGGTAGAGTTCCCATTTACCAGTCAAATCTGAAACAGAATTGAAAACTCCTTGTGGCCATCAGGTTCTGACGGCTGAGTATCTCTCACTAACTTAGCATATATAGCTCTCGAATGCTTCTTAAAAGCACCAATGAATAATTCACTCTATAAATGCCAGCAGAAAACTCAAAGCTTAAGAGGTCTAGAAGTGATTTCAGGTCGAAAGATACGTCTCTCAGGGAACGCTATAAAAAAAGACCAACTTTCTTTTCTATTCTCTGACGCAGGCTTTCTCACCCTGTTTGTATGAGGTTATTTGAAAAACGAGCAAGCAAATAAACCACAAAAAGTATCTTTAAATTTATGGGATCTTCCCGAAAAATTTTTAAGTGTTTTATATACTTAACTTGCTTTTGAGAGAGGCTAATGAAAAGGCAAGAGAAAAATATACGACCTTTAATAAGGATACCGGATAGAAACTCGGTTGATCCTCAGAACCGCAGGGAGAGTTTTAAAAAGGAGACATTGGGCCCCACTCCAGACCCTGTGAAACGGAAGGTCCAGGGCTGGGTCCAGGAATGTTTTGTTTTTTTATTCTCTCTTCCTTTTATTGAATTATTTTTTTTAAAAAACGCTCCCCACAAGATTTCTGGAAAAGGCCGGCAGAAGAAAATTCGATCAGAGGATTGTGCTTTCCCAACAACAAGAGGTGAAAATCAACAGCCAGGAGATTTTGCCAACGGCAAAAAATAAACCGATAAAGAATGGAATGAAGGATGGAAGATTCTGGAACAGTACAGAATGGACACTAGTCCCTAAAACCCTGAAAACTGGCTCAGATGGAGATAAACTGAGGAGCGAGTAAGCGCTGAGAAGACAGCCGGGCTGAACACCCAGGGGCTGGCCGCCAGGATCTCCACCTTCCAGGGCCCCCGAGCTGAATGCCTTGCAGGGGCAGATCCAAAGGAACAGAATACACCTTTGATCTCATGGCGTAAACCCCCAAAATAGAGCCTCTAATGAAGTTTCGGCAGAGACAACAGACTCGAGACTCAAAGATGAAATGTACAAAGCCAGGCCCCGTTCCCCTCCGTTACCCCGTAATAGAGCTCAGAGGGAAAGACCGATGGTACTGGAAGCATGGGAGGGACCATCACCGACACTGTCAGAGCACACAGGAGCACTGGTGTCGCTCACGGTACTAACGGAAGCGTGCCCGGGCATGGGCCTACATGCTTTAGCTCATTAAGTCCCCTCAACAATTCTTCGCATTTTACAGATGAAAACGATAAAGCACAGAGTACTTTGCCCAAAGTCAATGAAAGAATAATACTGCATCCCCAGGCACTGGGGCTCTACAGTCTGTCCCCTTAACCATGTCACGAAACTGCCCACATTAAATATAATCATGCTTAAAAGATCTGATATGTAATACAGAAGAAAGGAGGGAAGGGAGGAAGAGAGGAAGGCAGGAAGGGAGGGAGAGAGGGAGGGAACCAAACTCCTCCAGAATATTTTCTGGGAAGAAAAAGGGCGACAGACCGCAAAGGTAAGGAATGGAATGAAGAACTGAAATGCACCACTACAGAGCTAATAAAATAAACTAAGCCGGACGTCAAATTTAATAAAATTTCGAGATAATCACGTGAAAGCAAACGAACATAATCCAAAAAAAAAAAAAAAAGATGATCTAAAGAACAAGACAATAAGAACATGAGGAAAACTCATATCTCTGAAGTATATAATCCAATAAGTAGAACAGAAAAAAATATTTAGATATAATTGAGGAAAGCGCCCCTGAACCCAATGAAGACTTGAATCTGCATGTGAAAGGGCTCTACGGAAAACAGATGGAATGATCAACAACGAGGCAGAGCTTGGTGAAGTTACCAAATTTCAAAAGGTGGAACGAAAAGATTCTTCACAGGTATCATCAAAAAAGCAAGTCCACTACAAAGAAAAACAATCTGGCCGATCCAAGAGTTTGCCACCAAAAGACAACGCAGCAACAAAGTTTGGAGAGAAACAGAGAGCAGAGCAGAGGACAGCCAAGACAAATTGTTGTCGAGTGGAGTGGCATTCCCAAAACTCGAGAATTACGTCCCAAGCTCTTATTAGGGGGAAAATACTCTTATTTTTCTTGATGCCAAGAAACGAGTGGAGAGGCTGTGGCAGAAGAGATGGTGGTGAGCATATTTCTACATTTAAAAATAGAATGAAGATGAATGAACTGTGGGAATCATGTTATGGACTAAATTGTGTAACTCGATTAGAAGAGAAAGCAAAATACATAAATACTATTTTCTCTTTCCTAGCAGTGAGTTAATTTAGCCTGTTGAAATTATAACATGGAGTTTTTAAAAAAAAACAAAACGAAGCAATGAGAACATGCTACGCGTCTTTCAGAATGTTTTTACTAAACCTTATGAGTCTGTTTAACATATAAGGTTTTACTTTAATGTCTTTTCTACTGTTAAAGTAAATTTAAATGTAATATGTTATATATATAATATGAGACCTATTTTCTAAAATGATTTCTACATAGTTACTTTATTTATAATAATTTCCAATTAAAAAAAAAAAATTGGACCAGGACATGAATGGATCATAGAGAAGAAAGTACAAATGGTTCAAATGTATAAAAACATGCTCGACCTCATTCATACTAAGAGAAACACAAATTAACACTCAGACTTAGCAATTCCTACTCATCCAATTGGCAAAAATTAAGAATATCGGTAACGAGAAGCACTGAGGGTCAAAATATGCAGCACTGCCACAGGCTTTGGTATGAGTATTAGGGGGTCACAGCCTCTAAGGAGGGCTACCTAGCCAATTCTACCCAACCAGAGAGAGCTGCTTTCAGGAACTCATCCTCTAGATATGCTTGCCCAAGTATATGATTCAAGGTTATTCATTGCAACTTTGTTCAAAGTTGCAAACAACTGGAAACAATCAAAACATCCACCAATCTCATGTGATACTATAAAGCTACAAAAAAATTAAAATGAACCTCGGAACAATCTCCAGGAAGCAGGATGGCAAGGGCATGCTGATCTGCCGGGGAGGCAACGAACGAAACATGCTTCTTGCCTGTGGGTGCCTAATATCTTTCTGGAAGGATACATAAGAGACTGATAACACTGTCCCTGGGGATGAGTAAGAAAAGGGACGCTTCCCTGTATGCCATTTTGTCCCTCGGCATTTAAAATCATATGCATTCATTATCTGGTCATAACATATAATTTAGTTTTTGGTTTTGTTTTTAAAGAAACAATTGCTAAGGGCAATCAATAGTTGGTGTTCTTATGTAAGTAATAGAAGATGTTTTCAAATTATATTAAGAATTGGACCCTACACTATTTTGAATAAATAATAACTCTAGCAAGGGTCAGCAAACTTGTTCTGTAAAGGGCCAGACAGTAAATATTTTAGACTTGCAAGTACATCACAGTCACGTGGTCTCTGTTACAATTATTCAACTGCCACTGTTTTGCACAGACAGCCATAGACAACATGTACATGAATGGATGCAGCTGTATTCCAATAAAACTTTATTTACAAAACCAGGCAGTGGACGGATTTGGCCATGGGCTATAGTTTGCCAATCACTGACCTACAGAAACCAAAGCCCTAATTGTCATCTTTTATGTCTAAAATAAGTTGGCATTTTTTTCCTCCAGTGCAGAAAAATATAAAAATTACTTAATGAGAGATGTCTCCCCCCAAAAACCATGTGGATTTTTTAACATCAGAATGATATTTCGAGCCACTAATTGCTGAATATGCTCCGGTCACACTGGGTTTTCCATTCCTTGAACATGTTCCCACCTCAGGACCTTGATTCTCTGTCCTGAAAGAGCTACTCCCAGGCTCTCCCCATGTCCACCCACCCTCTCCTTGTCCTCCAGTTCTTAAGAAATGGGTTTTCCCCAGTCGGTCGAGCTAACCAACCCCTGGCCCCCATCATGCTCCATCGCCATCACTGGTTTTAATTACACAGGGCGACACATGCTATCTTTAAAAGATTTACTTCTTTATTTGCATACGGTCTCTTCTCCACAGTGAGAAGGTGAGCCTCCTGGGCTCAGGCACTTCCTGGCTCATTCATCACAGCTCCCCTGCCAACTCTGCGGACATATTGTTAGTTCTCTTTGTATTTCAATCCTTATCAGCTCTCGCAGGCCTGTTAAAACAGATCGCTTTCCCTGAAGCACTGCTGACCAAATAAATATCTCAGACTTCTTGGCTCAGGCGCTCTACTACTATTTACTGAGCACCTACCACGTGCCAGGTGCTGTTCCATCCCATCAGGTACATTGGCAAACTCAACTTAAAAAGCGCCCTGCCCCAGAGGGGCTTATATTCTAGCAGGGAAGGAGCGGGAGACAATGAACCATAAATGCAAAATACGTAAGAAAATGAATGGAACGTTAGAAAGTTATCGGTGCTACAGGAAAACTGGAAAAGCACTGCAGGAAGCAGGCCTCACTGGGCCGAGGCTTGAAGGAGATCAGGGAGCTGGCCAGCTGGATCCTGGGTGTGAACATACACGTGACCTCGCACGGAAAGGCCAGAGCGACAGTCCTGGGGTGGGAATGTGCCTGGTGTGTACGATCCTTGTGGATCCTTGTGCTGGATCCTTTGGTGTGAACAGCAAAGAGGCCGTGTGGTTAGAGTGGAGAGAAGGAGGAAGACAGAGGAAAGAGATGATGTCGGAAAGGCATGGCGACCCGATGAAGTAGGGCTTTTTAGGGCGTGCGCTGCAAGGATTTGGGGGTTACTGGGTTCCCTGTGAGTGAAATGCGTAGATGCTGGTGTTTCGAGCAGCGGAGCGCTGTGATCTGCTGCTCTGCTGCTCTGCAAAAAACCAACACAAGGGGATAAATCCAATGAGGGAACTAATGATAGTCCAGGCAAGAGGCAGTGGGGACGGGACCGCGGTGGCAACACTGGAGGGAATGAGACGTGGTCAGATCCTAGATCAATCTGGAAGGTAAAGTCACCAGGACTTCCCGACGGTGTGCATGGGGGCGGGGGTGGTATGAGAGAAAGAGGGGACCCAAAGAGGACCCCCGGGTTTCTGAGCTAAGCAAGGAAGGATGCAGCTGCCCTCAAGTGAGCAGGGAAATGCTGGGCTGTGCAGATGCAGGTTTTGAATGGAGAGATTGTTTCAGGGATGTTCCATGCCGGTTGTCTCTTAGACAGCCGAATGGAGACGTCTCTGCGAGTCCTCGCCTTATAGATCAAACTTAAAGCCACGTAACAGAGGAGATTGTGAGAGAGCATAGATTGAGAAGAGGCACTTGAAGGGGCACCGGGAGGAGGAACCAGCCGGAGAGGCTGAGGAAGAGCTTCCGGTGAGACGGGAAGGAAGCCAGGAGACGGTGGTATTTATTTCAGAAGCCAGGTGAGGAGGAGGGAGCATCCACCCTGTGGAAGCTGCTGAGGTCAAGGGTGATAAGGACGGAGGACAGGCGGCTGGGCTGACCCATGTGAAGGACATCGGTGCCCGAGAGGTGCAGGGCAGCTGGAGTGCTGCAGGTGAGCTCAGCGGGAGGAACCCAAGCAGTGAGGATGGGAAAGGTGGTGTCGGGTTTGTTGGAAAAGAAACTGCGGAAGAGTCACTTAGGAGAGCGAGAAAGCAAACCAACAAGGGATCGACATGATGCTTACGCATCAGTGTTAAGGGCCCAGCCGAGATCTCAGCATAGAAGCTTAGAAGATTTGGCCCAAGGATCAGTCTTCTTCTTCTTCTTTTTAAAAATCCATTTCTCTGGACAAGTACAAATTTGGATACTTCTCAGGGATGCAATGAAACAAATGTTAATATTTAAATCTCAGGAAAAGTACTTCCCCAGAAACCACCATCATAGCAGTAATACTGATACTCTGTTTCCAGCTGTGAAACATGGTAAAATGGTTATTGGAGACCTGTTAAATGTCACCCTAAGCCTACATGGCAGTTTGGAGTCTTTTCCAATAGGCTCCCATTTTGTTACGCTGAGTCCCGGGGTTCCCGCACCCAGAGCGGTGAGACAGGGCAAAGAGCCACGCGCATTGCAGGGGTTGCTAAGAAAGCACTTCCCCTTCATGGCAGGATGCAGAAACTTGTAAGAACGACTTAACGATATCTAACAACAACCTCCAAAGCAAAAGGAAATAGCGGACTAAGGCACCAGCAAACAGGAGTGTAGGCTACTAGGAAAAGACGCAACGCCTTTCGATAAATCCATAAGGTGAGACCTCATTTTGGCTAAAACTGTATGTCATCCATTTTCCATAAGAAAGACACTTTTTGAATAACAACGAGATATTTAAATGATCAACGAGAAGCAGCTCATTCTCCACTCCTATTATCAATGATAAAAGCCTCAAAGTACTAAATGAGGCTGATGAAGACACACAGGGCACCAGAAAGCGATCTGGATTCGGTGAGTTAAAAAAATTATTTCATTGAACAATATGTTTTAAGTTTCACTTACTCAACAGAAACAAAACTTGTCATCCATAAAAGTATTTCACACGTAACACGTAGGCGCTTACGTACAAACGACTCCACTAGCCCTAGAAAGATCCACATTCTTTCAATGACGCACGACATACCCTTTCTGCAGATGCTCTTTGGATTAAAATGAAATGTTTCCAAACCAAAAGGCATCTAGATCTTTAACAAGTCTCAGTCTGCACAACCCAGACAATCTGCACAGTCTTCTTCCGCCAAACAAGAAGTCATTAAAGATTTGGCATGCCACTTCAAGTTCACGCTTGGTTCTCCCGACAACTTTTAAACATTTTGTGTAAAAGCACAAATTTCGTGGATAAACGTCATCGTTATAGATGTAAGAGGTCCAAAGGGCTTTTAAAATGCTGCTCCAGGGGACCTCTGTCATGCTGCTGGACGGAATGTGAAGCAGCAGAAGCATTCTGGAAAAGTGTTTGACCCCATCGACTGATACTAAACATACACGAAGCCTATGACCCCACAGTCCCACTCCTGGGTATATACGTTATGTCCTCAAACAGAAAACAAGCAACCGCCCAGTGACAGTAGGGTGGGTCGACTGTGGCACACTCAGACCCCAAAATACTGAAAACCAATGGAGAGAAACAAACCACCGCCACGTCTAACCGCGTGAGTGAACCTCACAAACGTAGTGGAGAACAAAGAAGCTAAGTACACACACTGCCTAATAAGTGAGCACGTTCACAGAAGGTTCCAGAGTGGGCAAGACCAACCCGTGCTGTTAGAAGTCTGGAGAGTGGTCGCCCTTGGGTGCGGGGCGGGGGAGGATGGTGAAGCAGAAGGGGTCAGAGGGTGCCTCCGAGGCTGGTCATTTTCTGTTTCTTGACCTGGATGCTGGTTATAGGGGTGTGTTCGCTCTGTGAAAATTTCTGGAGCTGTACACTTAAGATTCGAATACTTCCCTGTATATATATTCCATTTCCATCAAGTTTTCAGAAAAAAATCAGCTGCTCCAAAATTCAGAAAATACGAGCCTAAAAGCAATGTTAGTTTTTACAGTTACTGTTCCATAAAAATTATTTTTCCATATTAAAAACAATTGTTTCTATTGAAATATTACCTTAATGAAAGGGGAAAAGAACTATTTAAAGGGTTACACATGGATCCTATAAAATGCGAATATAAATTATCCTTACATCTAAATAACCCTTCTCAATATCAACTTACCTGAGTTGCTTTGCATAGCTGAGTTCAATCTCTGTTCTTTCCTTTACGAATTTGATGTATTTCTCGAGAATATCAATTCCCCACTGTGTGTGTTTTTCTAAGTTGTCAAATTGATCCTGTTTAAAAAAAAAAAAAAACACAACAAAGAGAAAGTTTATAATCTTTCTCTGGGATTCAAGTAATTTCAATGAACAGTCCTCTCGACAATATATCGCTGCTCCACAGAAAGCAGGTCTAACATTTTCCATGATTGTACTTGGGTGCTTTTGTGCTGAGCGGTTAAAATCAACATTACCAAATTTGGTCTGAAAATTGCCTGGAGTACTGAAATGAACTCTGACCCATTCATTCATGTTCCCTATTCCTCTTAGAGACATGGTTTTGGGATATAATGAATGTCCTGGTGCAAAGGAAAATCTCTTTTCCGGATACTAAAAACCGAGAGGCGAAAGACACACTCACGTGAACTCAGTTGCCCTATCAACAACTTAACTGTTATCTCTGAGTTATCACTCAAAACAGCTCCTAGAAATCTGGGGCAAGGATACGGGAGGGAAAAAGAGTTACAGATAAATAAAACAACTCACGTGGACTTTTTTCAAACTCTCAAACATATATCAAGCCTACCCCGTGTACCAGGAATGGTGCTAAGAGCTGGGAAACTAAAATGAACAGAAATACAGCCCCGACCTGCAGAGCACCTTGAGTCTGCTCGTCTGAAAGAGGAGGGGGCGGGTATTCCAGCAACAGCTGGTGCGAAGGCAGGGAGATGTCCAGGAAGCAGGTGGACTCGGCCTCCTGGGGTGTGAGGTGGGGTGGGGCGCAAGGTGGGGTGGGGTGGGGTGCGGTGCAAGGTGGGGTGGGGTGGGGTGCAAGAGAACGAGGGCCGCCGGTAGGCAAGGAAACTAGACGAAGCCCCGGCCCCATCACTCACAGCCTCGAATGCCAAGCTTAGATTCTCCACTGGCCACGAGTGAGCCACTGACGGGCTTGCAAGAGTGGCGCGGCCACAGATATGCTCAGAATTGCTGGAAGATGGAAGTCGGGAGACTGCTGGGTAGTCCAGGTGAGAAAACGGGAGGAGAGGAGAGGATTTTACTGACGCTTAAATACAATCAACTAGTCCTAGTGACTGACCGGAGGAGGAGGAGGCCGGAAAGGGATGTGAAGGAGAGGCTGGATTCGAGGGTGGCTCTGGTTCTGCATCCTGTGACTACACAGATGGAGGGGCAGCACTTTGGGGGGACGTGACATGTTGAATGAGGGAGTGACACGTCCTAAAGAGAGCTGGAAACACAGATCTATTTGGAGCTTAAGGAGGGAGGTCAGTGAGCTGGACGTGCAGCGAGAGCCCAGGACGAGAACGCCAAGGCCCGCTGCAGCCGGTACCGTGTCCGTCAGTGAAGGGGGTGTCAGCATGACATCACGGGAATGGAGGACTGTAGTGTGGCAAACACGGCAGGTTTGCTGTCTCCAACAGGTAACGGTAACAGAGGACGAGGGTTCTAGCCCCAGCTCTGGGATTTCCCAGGGAAAGGCCACGAAATGACGCAAGGTTTTAATCATTTGCCTACAAGATAAAGAAAGAATCCTCGCCTGATTTCACAAATCAGCCATGAGGAGTGGGTAGGATGGGAAATGCCAAATCTAATATAAAAATACAAAACTGCAATTTAATCCGACAGAACGCAGTCAGCTTCATCCTTCAGCTTGTTTTTAAATCCAGCATCTTCAGTTGAAAATCTGTCACGGTGCTTTGGCTCTGTTCTCCATTCAAAGCAACGCCAAGTGTAAAACACGTAAATATTACATATAAGTTTAACTTGAGTGGGAGTGGGCAGGTGGCAGGATCAAAAACACATTTGAGAAACTCTCTTCTCCAGAAAAGCAGTTTCCTCAACCTTACCCCTTCCAGCCCACAGGACAGTGTAAGAAATGTCAGTTTAAGAAATTAAGGTTTTATTCGACTAGAATGTTCTTCAAATTGAAAATAATCCCTGTAAAATGTTTGTCTTTATACCTAATAGTTTTAATATTGTCATAAAAAGTCAGGGACAAATATCTAAGTTTTTCATAGATTCTTGGTCCTCAATAATCTATTTCACAAACCCCTGGATTCCATTTCAAGAACCACCACTCACGGAGATGATTTTTTTCTGTCATCTATAAAGACAGGGTCGTCAGGCAAATGAACCGTGTAAACAAGACTCGGGTCTCTCTAAACTTCTCGAGAGATCGAGAGAACACAGATACAAACGATTCGAGTACAGCAGTGCCTCTTATCCACAGTTTTGCTTTCCATTTTCAGTTACCCTCGGTCAACGGCCATCTGACAATATGAAAATGGAAAATTCCACCTCACGTCGTCTCGTCACGAGAAGGGCATCATCACAAGACGGGCGAGGACACCACAATATTTTGAGAGAGAGGGAGGGAGACCGTCTTCACATAACTTTTACTACAGTACATTGTTATAATTGTTCTATTTCATTATTAGTTATTGTTGTGCCTAATTCATAAGTTAAACTTTAGCATAGATGCGTATGAACAGGAAAAAAATCATAGCACATGTAGGGTTCAGTAAGGTTCAGTACTAGCCACGGTTTCAGGCATCCACTGGGGGTCTTGGACCATACCTCCCCAGGATAAGGGGTGGGGACGACTGTGATGATTACAGATCATTCCCAGCTATTTAGAGCAAGGCTTCTTTTTAAAAATTTATTATTAGTTTCAAGTATACGGTACATTGGTTAGACATTTATGTACTTAATAAATGATCCCCCTGATTGCTCTTTCTCTCTATGCCGTGCTCCCCATCCCCGTGACCATCTATCAGCTACTAACTTGTACTTCTTTAATCCTTCACCCCTTTCTCCCAGTCCCCCCAAACTCCCTCCCCTCTGGCCATCCCCAGATTGTCCTCTATCTTTGTGAGTCTGTTTTGTTGTCGTTGCTGTTTTTTTATGT